GGACTTAAATTTGAGTTCACAGCACCACCAAAAAAAAAATGCTGGGTATGGCTGTACCTGCCTGCTACCGTGGCACTGGGGGATGGGGACCAACAGATGCTAAAAGGCCTAAAAGGTAAAGCAGTCCAGGAAAAAGGGAGAGTTTCTGGTTTAGTGAGACACACACACACACACACACACACACACACACACACTATAATCTTGCATGTGCTCACATTAACCATAGACGAAATTCCATGACATGGACATAGTCGACTGGCATGTACCTTTCTACATTTGGTAAAATAATTGCCACCCCTGGGTTTGAAACAATTTACTTTCTCACCAGCAAGCGTCTTATTTTCACACTTTCTATTTTTGACCAACCTGTTAGGTTAAAAAAAAGAAGTATTATATGTTTATAATTTAATTTATGTGACTCATGATAGGATTATCAGTATCTTACAGGTAGAGATTGGCTCTTTGTCACATGGAGTTCAAATTTTTTTCCCTTGATTTTAATAACTTAAAAAATTCACTAGAGGGAATAATGGTTCATAGAAAATTACAAACATAATTGTGGGGTATTTTTTTGTTTGTTTGTTTGTATTTTTGAGACAAGGTTTCTCTGTGTAACTGCTCTGGCTGTCCTGGAACTGACTCTGTAGACCAGGCTGGCCTAGAACTCACAGACATCCACCCGTCTTGTTAAAGTGCTGGTTAAAAGGTGTGTACCACCACTGCCCAGTTTTTGTTTGTTCCTTTGTTGTTTCGATCTTTGGTGTTCTGAGTGCTTTTAAGTTTTAAAAGCACAGATCTTAGAGCCAGGCGGTGTTGGCACAGGCCTTTAAATTCCATCACTTGGGAGGCAGAGATAGGTGTATCTGAGTTTGAGGCCAACCTGGTCTACAAAGCTAGTTCTAGGACAGCCACGACTGTATAGAGAAAACCCTGTTTCAAAAATCAGAAATAAAGAGGGGAGGGGAGAAGATCTCCAAAGTTAGTGGAAATGTGTAATCCTAAGTGTAATTAACCCCTCATGTCTCAGTTTCCTGGCATGTTAGGTGGAGTAGCCATTTTCTAATAGTTACAGGGGTTGAAACCCACAATATATACATGAAATAAGGAGTACTCATCACAGTTCAAAAACAATTGTAGTAACTCACAGTTGATGCTGTTATTTTCTGTAACTGAATCAGTATGAAGAAGGTAGAGTACAAGGACATTTTCTGGCTACGAGCAAAGAATTCCTCTGACTCTGATCTTTGTCTCCATTTTGCTCACAGTTTTCCACTTGTCCCCTTGTCAAACAGGGGACACTGTTCGTGTGCGTGCGTGTGCGTGCGTGCGTGCGTGCGTGCGTGCGTGTGTGTGTGTGTGTGTGTGTGTGTGTGTGTGTTGAGGAAAACTATTACGGTTGGGAAGGCACGACTGGGGAGGGGTTTTGACATGGTTACATGCTTGGAATTCACTAGAAGGTTGGTTGTGGGCGTGGTTCTAATAGAAAACCTTCACCTGACGAGTATTTTTTTTTATTAAAAAATTTTTTGCCGGGCGGTGGTGGCGCACGCCTTTAATCCCAGCACTCGGGAGGCAGAGGCAGGCGGATCTCTGTGAGTTCGAGGCTGGGCTGGACCGACAGCCTCCAAAACAATACAGAGAAACCCTGTCTCGTAAAACCAAGAAATTTTTTTTATTTTTAAATTTTAATTCAAATTAGAAACAAGGTCTCTTCACATGTCAATATCACATCCCTCTCCCTTTCCCTCCCCTCCTCCCACCCCCTCCCACCACCCACCCAATACCCTCTCCTTTCCCCAGGGAGGGTGAGTTCTTCCATGGGGGTGTCCATAGTCTGTCATTTCATCCCAGACAGGGCCTAGAACCTCCCACAAGAGTCCAGGGTGAGAGTGCATCTCTCATTGTGGGATGGGCACCCAATGTCCATTTGTATGCCAGGAATAAATACTGGTCAACTACCAAAGGCCCCATAGTTTGCCTAAGCCTCCACCTGAGGAATATTTTAATGTCAGCTAATGGAGGTGAAATAAAGGACCCAAGAGAGATTTTATTCCTTTGAAGGCAAAAATATTGGGAGTTTCCAAATGTGGCTATTTCTTCAATTTTTTTTCAAAAACAGATGTATTAATGGGGAATTAGATGTTTGGATGGATTCTGGGTGGGGATTACAGTATCCACTGCCCTTCCTGCTGTCCGGTTCCTTGGTATTGTGAAAGTCTGTTTATAGCCCTCATCTCATCAGCAGCAAATACCGCAGATCCCTGGTAAAATGCTACTTTTTTGTTTGTTTGTTTGTACATATTTGACAGGGTCTCACTATGTAGCCCTGGCTTGCTTGGAATTCACCAGGCAGTTAAGGCTAACCTTGAGGTCAGAGATTGGCCTGCCTCTGCCTCTAGGGTGCTGTGATTAAAGCCACCAGGAAGTGATAATGATTTTGTGAAAGACATTCTGTAAAATAGAAAATCATGTTAATACAGAGTGATCTATAAACTGAAATTATTTGATAATTGGTTCAGCTAAAAATTTGAAGTATGCATATGAAGGCAATGCCTGTGTTAGGGTTAACACAGGGGACTCACAAATCAGCCTCCTCTTCGGAATCAGCAATCTTGTGGGAGTCAGGAATTACGTGCCTAACGAGTAATCTCATTGTTACATGTAGGGAAAGTGCCTGGAAGGGAAAGCTTATGGCCTATCAGTGTGTATAGTGGGAAAACATGACTTTATATGGCAGGCAGAGACTCAGGAAGACACTGTCATCAAGGAGCAGGTCCCTAATGAGGTGATAAGTGTGGGTGAGATCAACATATGGAAACATAATTCCAGGAGTTGACCCACCCAAAATCTGTCAGTAGCTCTAGCTAAGATCCCCTGCTCTCTGTGGTGGGATCCTGTTAGGGGACTCTTTGGAAGGAGATTGCTGGATGGGGAGATTTTATTTTGGACAAAAGTTTGGGTTTGTGTTGTCCTGGGGAAGCAGGGGTGTTCTGCTGTATGTGGGTTAACCAGCCCTCTCAAGAATGGTCATTTGCTTTCTTCCTTGTCTCTAAGAGATTCTGTAAATACTTCGTAATTCTAGCCCCTAATGCTTTCCTCCTCAATGCTCTTTAGGGGACCGAGTCCTTGCTCATGCTATGACTGTGGATGCTGGGTTTTGTTCTTGGGGACATCATACATCGACTTATTCCCCACAAAAAATGCTCTGAACTCTCTCTTCCAGGCTGGTAACTGGTGAGATTCAGAACCTATGTGACTCAGTATCAGCAAAGCAGGTCCCTTATCCCAGACTCACCTGGGTAGGGCTTGTCTAGTCAGGAGTTGCCGTTCTGAAGCACGTCATTAAGGTCAGATACCGTGGCTGTCACAGATGATATGAAAAATATCCAGGAGTTTTGTTTCTTTTTGCTGAGATTTCAGAGAGCTACCCAGATGGTGTGACGTCTCTGATATTAACAAAGCAAAATTAAAAAAAGAGACTGGAAAGTAGAAGTCACTTTATGGACACTTGTATCTTTCATTCAGTTCTCAATATCAAGACTCAGCTTTGCTTCTAACATTTTTCTACAGTCTGAATAACGTCTAGTCTGCATGCTCACTAATACTTTGGCCTCTGAACCCTCCCCTAAACCCCATTCAGTCTATGAAGTCCACCGTAGTTAACTAAAGTAGAACTATACATATTGTTTTTCTTATTACTTCCCTATAAACATAGGATAGAGACTTGCTGGACTAATATGTGGAAACAATGAACCATTTTTTTTCTGTCTCTATATGTTTCTCAGACATGGAGGGAAGACAGCTTTTAGTGACTGTGGTAGATGAGCTTGTCCCATATCAAAACCCCTGCAATGTGGTAGGTTATCTTCTACAATGTGAAATTCCTTGGCCTTATTTTCCAAGATCTACCACATACAGCCCTTCTGCAGTCCGGGCTCCTCCCCGTAACTCCTCAGAATGGGATCTTTACCAGATTGGTTTATTAATGTCTCACCAGAGCCTTCCTGGTCTCCGCTTCCTCATTTGGGTCATACTGTAGGAACAACCCATCTCCTTCCACCCAGTCATCCACCGAAAGTTGACCATTTCCCAAGACTCACCCTGTTTTTCTCATCTAATTCTATTTCAAACCACAGGGATTTCTTATCTCTCTAATGGAACTGCATTAGCCTCTAAGGTTTTCTAACTGTCTCTTGTTTGGCCATTAACCAATACTGTAAAACTGTACTTCTTGCATTGCAGGACTATGTTGGAACTTGGTTTCATTTATTTGTTTTGGCATTAATCTCCTATCTCTGCCCATACCCTGCAGGCTGTGGGAGGATATGTTTCTTGCAGCACCTGACACTGGGTGCTGCGTTCACTGCAGCTTGATGTGGTATTTGTTCTGAAGACCTGTGTGTTATCCTAGGTCCCGTGCATCTTGCAACACAGGAAGCGGGAGCTTGGAACAATAGCGGTTACGACAGGAGCCAGGTTAGACACAATGAGGATATTTGTTAAATGTAGAGTTTGCCTGAAGGGTTGATTGATTGATTATGGATGGAGAACTTTGTATTCAGGGCAATGACGGAAATGATGAGGGCAATTATTCTGATGTTCACCGAGTCAGCAAATACAGGCATTAAATTTCTGGATGGCATAAACTGCTTTTGAATCTTATTAGGGAAAGAGCCGAACTATATAAAAAAAAAGATTCCAGAGTATATGCCCTTATTATTCAGACCTTCAAAATAAGAGTACGACCTCCAACATTTCCCCCTCTTTCTTTGTGAGGTTGCACCTTTTTTCTGCCTTAGTATAAGCTGTATTGTCTCAGAGTCAGGTCATTGCTGTCTACTTCCTGAATTCTCTATACTTGAGTTCTTTACTCCAATGTAATTGACTGGCAACATCACTATTCTGTTGTCTGACATGACAACTTGTGTGTGTGTGTGTGTGTGTGTGTGTGTGTGTGTGTGTGTGTGTGTGTGATGTGTCTTGGCCATAGGGTTCATTCAACACATTGTGTCCACAGATGGGCATTCATGTGGTGTTTGCTAATTCTATGGCAGAATTAGCCAGACCCACAAGACAAAAGATACCTGTCAGGTCACAAGAAGCCTTGGGATCACCATTGCCAGGTAATGTGGGGAGTGGGGGGGGTGGTGGTGTCACGCATGGCCATGTAACAGGAATCTGGTTACCCCAAATTTGGTCTCCCCAAGAGTGAGAAGAAGATCTGGGTCCTCTGTTGGGATAAGAAGGTCTTATTATCCATGATGAACACGTCCTCATCTGGGGGATTTCTCTGGAGCTGTAGCAAATGGCCACCACTGACAGGTGACAGAGGAAGGACATGAGAAGATAGAGTTGAGGGTACAGGGGGAGGGTGAGCAGGGTCAGCAGGTACACGGTTTTAAACAGGACAAAGAGTCCGGCCTAGATGTGCTTATATCTGGAGGGATGCGGTAGAGTGAATTCCCTCACCCAGTTCATATTATTCCCCTCATGGAGCAGGTGGGTCAGTGTGCTTGGGGTTTAGGGAAACCAAGTCACAGTCAGAGCTCATGGTCTGGGGCTGAGCAAAGGACCTTGATTTGGACTGTGAGCATGAGAGTATGCTCTTTTTTTTTTTTTTTTTGGTTTACGAGATAGGGTTTCTCTGTATTGTTTTGGAGGCTGTCGGTCCAGTCCAGCCTCGAACTCACAGAGATCCTCCTGCCTCTGCCTCCCGAGTGCTGGGATTAAAGGCATGTGTCACCACTGCCCGGCTGAGAGTATGCTCTTCATTAGATTCTGAGCACTTAGAGTTGTAGATCTCTCTGAATTTTAAAATTCAAACATTCCTAATGTGTGTTTCACAGGAAAATGTTTATTGAGTCCATGAATACATTTAAGGTGTCTTTGAGGGTTCTTTTTTTTCTAATGTTTTTTATTTTGCGTTTGTGTTTCCAAGAACCAAGGTGTACGTGGGGAGGACAGAGGACAGTTTTGTGAAGCTGAGTCTCTCACCTTTATGCTGGTTCTGGTGACCAGGTGGCCAGGCTTACACAGTAAGTGTGCTTTTGCTCTCGGTCCCTGGCTGGGAATTGTCTTCTGATCACAGAACACAGATTCTGTGTTCTTGCACGCCTCTGTGTTCTGATTACCAGGTAGAGGCAGAGGCAGGGGCAGGGGCAGGGGCAGGGGCAGGGGCAGGGCAGGGCAGGGCAGGGCAGGGGCAGGGACGGGGCAGAGGTCCTTTTTGCTCCTCTATCATCCAGACTAGATCAATGACAATAGAAAAATCACCCATTTGGTTCCCAGTGATTCATCAGCCTTAATCTTCTGCTGATAAGATCAGGGCCTTGTATAGGACATTATATCAGCTACAATTATATTTCATGTTTTGAGATTCTGCTGTCTCCTTGGTAAAATGTTGGCATCTGCTTGACTGTCAAAGTGATTAATAAAAGATGAATGTGCACATCACTTGCAATGACAACATTTGGAAGCAGACAGAACCCACAGATGAAGTCAGCAAGGGAGTGCCACTCAAATCCTTTGGCTTTGTTATGGGTAAACTTTCTGTCACAGCAAAGGCATGTTTGCCCTCCAAACATCTCATTATTTTGTTTGCTGGCTTTTGTTTTGCTTTGCTTTTTTTTTTTTAGCAAAGAATAAAGATCTCTCTCTCTCTCTCTCTCTCTCTCTCTCTCTCTCTCTCTCTTCCTCTCTTTGTGCAAGTGATCTTTTTCCTTCATTTGTAGTTAAGTCCTATTGGCTCCCGTTGTAATGGTTCCCCTTCTGTTAGCACTGGAGGTGGAATCCTGGGCCTCCTATGTACTAGACAATTGTTCTGCTGCTGAGTTACGGCCCTAACACCCTGGCACTCGTTTCAGTATTCACCTCATATCATTTTGCAATGTGATATTATGACAACAAGGGGAGACCATAGAGACACAAGGAAGACTCTGCCTGCTAGATAGCCCATTTGGATTCCTACAACTTCAGGTTTGAGAAAGAACAAAACAACAACAACAACAACAAAACCTCCAGAAGTCAGGGATTGCCCGAGTAACCCCCATAGAGAGTGCTCTCAAAGCTGGCTGTATGGCACAGTCATCCAGAAGCTTTGAAAACTCGAGAAACCCAGATCACCCCCTGAAAGCAGTTCAATAAGGATCTCAGCTGGAAAGGCCCATGAGGATGTTAGTGAATTCCATGTTTTTCAAGAATTAAATAGTGGAGCTAGTGTGAGAGTCGCCATTTTAACTGTTTTTTTTTTCTCTCTCTCTCCTATTTCTCTCGATCTCTTTCCCTCCCCCTTCTCTTTGGGCGGAGGTAGGCAGAAACTTCCCATGTAGCCCTAGCTGACCTGGAACTCACTTTGTAGACTGGGCTGGCCTCAAAATTGCAGTGATCCTTCCATCTTTATATCATACTTGCAAGTTTTGATTTAAGATATGTTTTTTTTTGATAAGGGAATATGGTTTGAGATCAATTTAGAGGAGAAAAAAAATCTTTGGAGCTAATGTCATCATTCTTCATTCAAGGTATGTGAGTCCCAGTGACTTACGGTGAGTCATGAGAAGCTAATCTGATGCCTTACCTTTCAAGTAGCTGTAGTTGCTATGGGACTGTTTCGCATGTATTGTTGTAGAACAGACTCAGACATGGGTACCAAATGAGATGAAGAGTGAAAGAGTCTTTCATAAACTTTAGAACATTATATAGTAAAAAAAATGACTTTAAGGTTATGAGGGATGGCTCACAAATCCAATGAGACAGAAAGAGGAACTGTTTAAGCCCAGTCTTTCTAATGGGGTTAAGAGATGGGGTGAGAGGTGGGTGGAGATATTGAAAGAATAGTTGAATCCTACCCTCCACCTGCTCGCGCCCTCATGACGGTTGCTCTGTGGCTGAGAGCAGTTCCCCATTTGACAGGAGAGACTAGAAACTGGTTTTGCATAGCACCAGCTGCTGCGTTTCTGAGCCCCGCACCTGGGGCCCATGGCTTTAGTCAAAACTTTCTTTTTTTCTGACAGTGCAGTCAGTACCAAGCTTCGGTCCACAAAAGTCCCTACTGAGTGCCAAGAATGCCCACTGACATTCTCATCCAAAAGCAATAACAAATGAGACTCCTGGAGAAGAACACAGTTAGAAAGGACATTCAGGGTCATCCATTTGGCCTCACCGTTTGTTTCAAACTATGATGCCACGGAGAACCAGAGGTCGGAAGTGACGGGTTGAGGGCTACCTTCTTGACTGAAGCAGGCCCGTGAGTGCGTCTGGGTCATGATGCCCAGTCTCTTCTTACGACACCTACTGTGCTCCCACTCATGCAGCAGGAATGCTGCGTCTCAGTGTCTCAAGAGAGGTGGCAGAGGGGTTTGGCTTGGGGTGTAGAAGATGTCTGGAAAAGCTTAGCGGTTAGGATGCTCCTCTGCTGAGGCTGGTGGGGTCTATACTGTAAAGTTACACAGGAAAATGGCTAAAATGTCCTTTGGAATGGACAGTGGACTGTGGTTGAATTTGCCAATCACATGACCACTTTCAATTTTATCTGTAAAATGGAACCATCCATTCCACAGTTGGAGTGAGGGCACAGAGCCCGCACGCCTGGGCAACTCAGTCTTTGCAGCTGTGGGTAAAACTGAAGAGGGACATCTTCACAAAACGCATCGGTTCTATGTCTGTGTTCTAACTTGCAATGACCTACTATGCAAACCTAGTTCACCTCACCTTTTATTTGATTCCCCTCTACTTTCTAGACAGAGGTTGCTATATAATATTGAGCTAAAATAAGAATAGACAGCGAGGCTCTTACATGTTTTACATGGCAATGAAGACAGATCTGTAATATATATCCCACTGTAATCTGGGATGATATGGATATGGATGCGACAGGCACATACAGGGAAGTTGAGGCAAGGAGGAGTTTTACAAATGCAAAACATGAACCCTGTTTTTAAATAAACATTCGTTGGTTCTAAGGACTCATGGTGTCCACTGGTGGTTGCTAGGAAACAAATTCGTATCGGTGACTGGCCATGGGTTGAGATGACTTGCAAGGCTGCAGCTAGGACAGGGTGTTCTTAGATAATGGCTTTATTGTATTTTTGTCTACATGTATTGTCATGGAATTTTTCTTCAGGTAAATATGCATGAGGCCTCCTCTGTTGATGATGTTGCAATTCTATTGCTGGGGTCTGACATAACTGTCTTGACTCTGACAGCTTTCCCAACAGAGTTGGGAACACCGTAAGGAAAAGCCACTCCTTCAGATCCATTCCCTCATGCGTGTAGTCAGAGAAGTAGAAGAACTCTGCCATGAGGGAAGAAGGATGATCTTAAAAGTGCCTTGACATGGCTGGGAGATGGTGGTGCACGCCTTTAATCCCAGCCCTTGACACAGTGAGTTAGAGGCCAGTCTGGTCTACAGAGAGTTCCAGGACAGCCAGGGCTACACAGAGAAACCCTGTTTCAGAAAAAAAAAAATGCCTTGACATGTACTGGTCCCCATCTTAATAAGAATGCCTCTGGAGAGTCTTCTGTGTTAAGATCTCATTCTGAAAGAAATTCTTTTTAAAGATTTTATTTCAGCTGGGCATTGGTGGCACACGCCTTTAATCCCAGCACTCAGGAGGCAGAGGCAGGCGGATCTCTGTGAGTCCGAGGCCAGCCTGGTCTACAAGAGCTAGTTCCAGGACAGCCTCCAAAGCCACAGAGAAACCCTGTCTCGAAAAAAAAGATTTTATTTCATGTGTATGAATGTTTGCACATATGTATGTATGTATGTATGTATGTATGTATGTATGTATATATGTATGTGCACCACATGTGCACCTGGTGCCTGCAGAGGTCAGATCAAGAGGTGGAAACAGAGTTACAGACTATTGTTTGATATCATACACGTTCTGTTCTCAGGACCTGGGTCCTCTTCAAGAGAAGCAGCACCGCCGAGACTTCTAACCCCAAACGCCAACAAGTTCTGAAGAATGCACATTCAATTTTTCTTGAAAAAGTGGTATCTTCTTATTTAGAAGTCTAAACAGTCCATAAGAGATTGAGGAAATATCTCCATTCTTTCTCCTCATTTTTCCCATTATGCCTTTGTCTAGAGATGGTTCCTGTTAATAATATTTTGGTAACAGTAACAACTACTCTTATATAAAATGTTTGATGGGATTGTATAAGGTTTTTCTTTCACATGTTGCGATTTTATTTCCTAAGGGATTTGCCATTTTAAGATGATAGATCTTTCTAGAATGTTTTACCTATTGTTACTATTTTTATTTATTAGCAAATGGTAGCTGTGCATAAATGACGTGTTCATGGCATTTTCATGCTTGTACATAATGTGTTTTGATCATGCTCACCCTGCTGCTCTCTCTTGGCCCTCTCCCACCCCTGCCCATCCGTCTCTTCACCGCCTTCTTCCTACTTTCCTGTTTTTACTTTTGTTCTCCCACGAGTTTAGTTGTGCACGGTGCAATGCACAATGAAATGCAATGGTGCATGGTCATGCTACCAGTGGCTATATTTTAATGTCTCCTCTTTCTCCATCAGTAATTACCTACCTAGATTTCATTGAGCATGTTAGGGCCTCAGGAGCCTCTTCTCCCTAGCAACGCTCAATTGCCTATAGGTCACCAGGGATGGGCATGGAACTTGTGACCGTCTCTCCCTTTCACGAGACAATGCGGATGGGCTCACTCTTGTGCAGGTCTTGTACTGGTAATCAAAGTCACCGTGAGTTCATGAGCTCAGTGGCCATGCCATGCCTGGAAGACAGCGTTCCTCGATACGCCCCATTCCTTCCTCTGGTTTGTACATCCGTGCTCCCCACTCTTCCTACCTGTCCACACAGCTTCTTCAATGCTCCCTGAGCCTGGGAAGAAATGGTCTAGTGTAGTGATATTTTTGTTTGCAATCTGATCAATAAAGCTTGCCTGATGATCAGAGCACAGAGCTAAACTACTGGTTAGCTACACACCTAGTTGAGAGCTAAGCCACTAGTTGGCAACACACATGCTAAGACAATAGTTAGCCACACACCTAAGCCACTAGTTAGCCATAGAGGACAGGCAGTGGTGGCGCACGCCTTTAATCCCAGCACTCGGGAGACAGAGGCAGGTGGATCTCTGTAAGTTCAAGGCCAGCCTGGGCTATGCGAGAGTGAATCAGTCTAAAAGAGAAACAGAGCTCACACCTTTGATTCCAGCGGTTGGGATGACACATCTTTAGTCCCAGCACTAGGGAGGAATATAGGGCAGGAGCTCAGTGCAATCTCACGGAAGAGCAGTGGGTCTGAGGGAAGAGTCGCCCTTTAGTTTCATTGGCAGAGGTGAGAACTCTCTAGTGGTTGACCACTTTACTTCTCTGACCTTCAGCTTTAACCCTGATATCTGTCTCCAGGTTTTTATTATGTGTGCTACAGTATAGACGTTCCTTTTAGGGATGCGCTTTCAATTGTTTTTAGTACTTTATGGGTCTCTGCAGTAAGTGATGCTCATGTGTGGCGGGCAAAGCTCCTTTGACTAAAACTGACAGCAGTACTAATGTATGGACAACCATTTGGAAGGAAACTTGATAGGCACATGTTCATTTAGCAAAACTAAGGTCACCCTCCCAGCCTACAATGTCCCCAGCCAAAGGATGTGACTTGGTTAAGAATACCAGGTATGAATTCTCTCCTGTGGATAGGGCTTCATATTTAATCAGTAAGTATTTGGTAACTCCCGTAACTGTGCCACGAATGTACTGGTAGGCTTATCTTGCCTAGCAGGCCAGTAGTATAGCATGCTGGGTCCATAGCACAGTAGGACTGTGGGTGACTTTCCTCCTCCAGCAACCTGTAAAGTACCTTGCAGCACCACAAAAGGGTAGTCACCAGGGAGGAAGCTTCCAGCTAAGTTTCAGCTTGACTTTCTCTATGTCCTACAATCAAAGAACGTAGTGTCATAATCAATAGCGTCTTTCTATCTTGTTCTGGTAGTGCAGCCAAGAGCAGTGACACTAGCCAGTATTGTTTCAGGGGCCTTCAGGACCTCCCTGACCAACCACTGTAGCTCAGCTCTGGCACAGAGACTTCATTTAATAACCCATAGCTTGATCAACTTATGCAGTGTACCACCATTAGAATATTATTAAATTTTTTAAATTATTTTGTAAAAGTAGCATATTACTTTATGGCTTTCCTAAATATCCTTAGTCTCATTGAATCTCCAGTTTCCTTCTCTCCCCTATGTTCATGACCTTCTTTTTTTTTCTTTTTAAATTTAAATTAGAAACAAGGTTGCTTCACATGTCAATCCCAGGTCCCTCTTCCTTTCCCTCCTCTCCTCCCACGCTCCCCATCAACACCCCCAGTACCCCTCATTTCCCAGGAAGGGTGAGGTCCTCCAGGGGGTGTCCATAGTCTGTCTCATCCAGGGCAGGGCCTAGACCCTCCCCCAAGAGTCCAGGATGAGAGAGCATCTCATATTGTGGGATGGGCAGCCAAAGTCCATTCGTATGTCAGGGATGAGTACTGATCTACTACCCAAGGCCCCATAGATTGCCATGGCCTCCTAGCAGTGCGTGAACTTTTTGTCCTTGTAGGTAGTCTTTGGGATTTAGACTGGGGGTAAACTGTACCAGGCGGCAATGCTCACTGTAGAGTGGGCAGCAAAGGCATTGAGAGCTTTACTTTTCAAACTGTGTACGAAACAGTCACATAACGAGAACACATCAACGTTGGTGTTCTCGTACTTCCCAGAGATCCTGCCTTATCGGCCTGAGAAAACCAACTATTTTTTCCAGACTTCCACTTTGAGCCATGTCTCTTGTGGATGTGGGCGGAGGCATGATTTGTCCACTTGTTCTGTAAATAGTATTTTAGCTCCTCTCCTATCGTGTCAGCTGATTTCCTGCCTGCCTCGTCGTAACTGCCAGACCAGGAGCTGCAACAGCACACCTGCACGGTTCTCATAACCAGAGCAATCATTTCTTCAGGGTCGTCCATCTTCTCACAGGTTCTGGGTTTGATGACCGCTCCCCGCTCCTTATGAGTGGACTTCAAATGTCTACACGTTCTTCACATGTGTTAGAGTCTGCAGTCCGACATGGCTCTCCCCTCCCTTCAATTCTGCAGTTCTATTGATTGCAACACTCCCATCTTTCCAGTAGAGTTAACTCCACGGAACGTTTGCAAGGTGTGATTAGTGGTATGCCCGAGTGTGTGAGCGAGTGGGTGTCTGACTCCTGTGCCTTTTCTTGGGCTCTTTTACCTCTCCTTGTTCGTTTTGTCCAACTCTGACGTGTAAGTTTTATCTGATTATATTATTATCCCTTAGAGACCTGTTTGGTTGTTGTTTAACGAGAGACAGAAAAAGGGGTGGATCTGGGCGGGAGGAGAGGTGGAGAGGAAGTAGAAGGAGGGGAAACTATAACCAGGATCGGAAAAAGAAATCTACATGTGGAAAAAGAAATCTATTCTCAACAAAAAGGGGGGGGGAAAGATCGGCTTTCTGTGTTCATAAGAAGACTAGACAGGGGCGTTAGACAGAGAAGAGAGGAGGTGTACGGGCTCTGCAGTTAGAAACACTGCTCTCCGTTCATCCCTCCCTTTCTGCGGGCACCATGGCGCTAAGAAGACTAGACGGGGGCGTTAGACAGAGAAGGGAGGAGGCGTACAGGCTCTGCAGTTAGAAACACTGCTCTCCGTTCATCTTTCCCTTTCTGCGGGCACCATGGCGCTTCTCACAGTAACTGTGTGTACAATGCTTTCCCACCTCCCTTGGTCTTCACCGCCCATTAAGTTCGTGAGAGTTGTTTTCTACCGTAGCGTACGTAATGTGTGAAGAGCAATGTCTTGGCTGCTTCAGAAGACAGCCTGTGAAAGCGGAAGGGCTGGTGTTTCCCCTGACGGGCTATATGCCTGCAGTTTGCAGATCATTTGGATTTTGAGAGAAAGGATACGGTAGCGCATTGCCCGATAATAATACATTATAAGCATTTAAACATCTTTCTTGGGATGATTGTATAGCTTGTATTAGTGATAAGATTGAAATCAAGCAGGGCAGGGGGATCCTATAACTTGTAAACTGAAAGGTAGAAGAACGTGGGCGCTTTTTAAAAAAAAATCCTTTTGATGAATGTTATTCCAGTACTCAGTGTCAATATTTGACATATAGCTTAAAGTAATTTATTATTTAAATTTGTGTTTCTTAGTTCTTGAAACTGAACATTTTTTCATATAGTAAATACCACGAAATGAATTCCTTAGTTGCCATTTAAAATTTTTATTTCACTATTTTTATGTTTGCATGTTCATCATTTTTTCCTCTGCTAAGTAAGTGTTACCTGAGGCTGGGAAGCTGGCTCAGCGGTTACCAGTGTGTGCTGCTCTTGCAGAAGACATACGTTAGTTTTGCAGCACTTATACTGGGTGGTTCACAAGCCTGTAACTCCTGTTCCAGGGAATACAAAGCCCTCTACTGGCCTCTTTGGGCGCTGCATTCATGTGCAATGTACTGGCCCTCTCATATGTACATAATTTTGAAAATAAAACTAAAATAAATTATGTTACCATTTTTTAAAAGATTGGAAATTGTGAGCTTTCCCTCCCCCTCCCTCCCTCCCTCCCTCCCTCCCTCCCTTCCTCCTTCCCTTCCTTTCTTTCTTTTTTGGTTTTTTGAGACAGGGTTTCAACACAGGCTATCCTGAAACTTACTTTGTAGACCAGGCTGGCCTCAAACTCACAGAGATTTGCCTGCTTCTGCTTCCCAAGTGCTGGGACTAAAGGCGTGAGCCGCCGCCACCTAAAATCATGATTTTTCAACCACTATTCTTTATGAAACTCATGTCATTTTTTCTTTTTACCTCAGAAGAAAAAGTATGTATGTATTTATGCGGTAAAAATTAGTACTTTGGGCTAGAGAGATGGCTCAGGGTTTAAGAGAATTTGTTACTATCCCAAGGGATCTGGAGTTGGTTCCCAGCACCCACAGAGTGGCTTGCAACTGCCCACAATGTCAGTTGCAGGAGATCTGATACCTTCTTCTGAACTCCGAGGACACCAGACTCTGGTTCTCAGTCTGTGAGTCACGACCCCTTCGGGGTCAAACGACACTTACATGACACAGAGGTCACATATCAGATATTTACATTACAATTCATAGCAGTAGAAAATTAAAGTATGAAGTAGCAATCAAATAATTTTATGGTTGGGGGTCACCACAGCAAAAGGAACTGCATTAAATAATCACAGCATTAGGAAGGTTGATGACCAGATATTTACCTGGTGCATACAGATACACATGGGCAAAACATAAATAAAAGAAAATAAAGAAGTTTAAAAATTGATGCTTTGATCTGTGTCTATGACATAGAAATATTCAACCAAGCTAATTAACGTATCCATCACTTCACCAACATATTTTTAGTAAGGTGTTAAATTATTTTAATAGTTCTGTAATATATAGTACATTATTAACTGTGGCCAAAATTATCAAAGAACTAACAAAAATATTAATAATTTCAGACTGAAAAAATGAATAAACATGGAGGTTTTGCTTTCGAGACAGGAATTTAGTGGGCATTGTAAAAGGAAACAATATCTACAATACTGAGAGAGAAAGAAAGTTAGAAGAGTCTAGAACTAAAAGTTACCAAATTCTGAAGTGGATTAAACAATTGGATAACAAACACATAAAGTGATATTTAGCTTCACTAGTCATCAAGGATACACAAAGCAAAATTACAGTGTAATAGGAGAAGTACAAGTTGTAAATAAGCATACTTATTTATGGTTTAAAAATTAGTGCTTTGCTTCTAGACAGATGGTTCAGAGTATTTGTTGCTATCACAAAGGACCTGGGGTCTGGTTCCCAACACCCACACGGTGGCTCACAACTGTTCCTAACCCCCTAAGGATGGCTACCACCAACAAAGAGTTAAATGTGTTGAGGATGCAGATAAACCGGAATCCTCACTAGCTGCTGGTGACCATAAGTGACAGCTTGTTTTCTTTTAGAAATTAAACAGTGTAGCTGTTTCTCAGAGTCAGACGGAAATACCACTCCTGGGTATCTTCCCTGAAAGAACTGAAAAATAAAAGTGAATTCAAACAGTAATTTATGCCTGATGAGTCACACCCACACCGTGCACAGCAGCCAAGAGATGGAAATACAGACGTCCATAAGTGGACAGCCAAATATATACACACAACTGAGTGTGACTCAGCCGCATAAAGGAGTGAAGCCCAGCTGCATATTACAAGGATCAAGTTAAAATCAAAACCCATCATGTTAAGTGAGAAAGACGGGGTGTTCCTTTTATAGGTCTAGCTGGCAAACCCACAAGAAGAATGATAGTGCTTGTTGGGAGCTGGGAAAGCCAATGGATGCTTCATGGGAAGAGGACACTGGTTATTTGGAACTGATGAAAACATTCTGGTGTTAGACAGATTTGTGGATGCAGGATTTTGTGATTATGCCAACCTCCAATGAATTAAATGGAAAAAATGCATGAACCGTGTTATGTGAATTTCATCTTTATTTAAAGTTTTACTAAAAATTCATGATGTGTCTCCTGTATTTAATCTTTGAGAATGTTTCTCACACGTGGAATAAAACTTGCATTGCTCATTTTATGGTTTGTGCTTGTTTTATTGACACAACCGACTTTAGATCTCTAATATTCAGAATAAAAAATGGCTTTCTTACTCGGGCGTTGGTGGATCACACCTTTAATCCCTGCACTTGGGAGGCAGAGGCAGGCGGATCTCTGTGAGTCTACAGAGCGAGTTCCAGGACAGCCTCCAAAACAATACAGAAAAACCCTGTCTCAAAAACCAAACCAAACCAACCAACCAAACAAAAAAGCTTTCTTTTCTCTTTTAAGAAGAAATAAAGTGCATATGGGCATTTTGCCTGTATAGGTGTGCAGTGTCAGCAGAGGTAGGAAGACGGTGTCAGATCCCAAGGGACTGGAGTTGCCGATAGTGGTGAGCTGATACGTGAGCTGGGCGTGGGACCTAGGTTCTTTCTAAGAAGAAGTGTCCTTCACCACCGAGCTGTCTCTCCAGCTCCTGGAGAACAGATATCTAATTTACATCCAAAGAGTTGTTTTAAACATTTGTGAGCATCCAGTCACCACCACTTTTCTTTATTCCCCAAAATGTTAGAAGATGCTCCCGCACACGTGCTGCACACGGTGGCTCACCCCTGATCACGCGTGGCGTGTCCTTAAAATCAAGCACAGCTTTTGAATGCATCCCGGATTTTCGTAAGGGGAATGTGCCTATTGAACACAGCGCTTCCGTTGGAGTCCCTGATCTGGTGCCTCTCTGGCCTGCCGATTGCCCTCCCTGCAAGCTGAAAACAGAAAGAAGGCAATTGAAGCCCTTGGGATGCGCACACGACCGAAGCTTACTCACTAGGGCTGTCGGGGATCACGAGTGTGACTTTGGCTCCTGATCTGTGTGAGTTCCGCACCGTAGTCAGATGGGCTGCATCAAGTGGGAGTCGTACGACATTTATTCTTGTGTCTTAGGGCCGACTTGATCCATTAGCTCAGAGAATTATTTTAATTTGCCACTTACTTCTTCCTCCTTTCTGTCTGACTTCTACATGTTTAGACATTTTAGCCACGACAAGGATCTTAACATAAATTGTGGGGATGTCTGATTAGAGCAACCCTCCTTTCTGATTGGTATATCTGCTGTGTCTTTTCTCTTTTCTGTCACTGTCTTTGGGATGAGGAAGTTACCAGAGGCAAAAATCTTAGCTCTGCTTTATCTCAAAGGAGTGTGTATGTGTGGTAGTCTCATGTCATGTGTACATGTGCGCATACACACCCTTCCATGTGCGCCCATACATGTGCACCACGAGGAGCTACGTACCCCAACGCCCACCACGAACACAGATGGCTCCTTTACAGAGCTGCTTCCTAATTCTTCGACTCAAAGCTCTTCCTCAGAACTCGACTCAGAGCAGCCTTCACATCCTTGTTCCTGAGACTGTAGATGAGAGGATTCAGCATGGGGGTGACCACAGCATAGAAGACCACTACCAACTTGTCCTGCTCAGCAGAGGCTGTGGAAGGGGGCTCCATGTGCGTGAAGAGGGCCATCCCATAAGACATGGAGACCACAGTCAGGTGGGAGGCACAGGTCTCAAAGGCTCTGCGGCGTCCCTGGGTGGAGCGGATCCTCAAGATGGCAGCCACAATGTGGGCGTAGGACAGAGAGACCAGGCAGCAGGGCACCAGCAACACCACCACACTGGAGGCCAGGATCACCACCTGGTTGAGGGTGATGTCCACACAGGCCAGCCTGACCAGTGCCAGGGTCTCACAGGCCACGTGGTTGAGCACATTGTGCCCACAGGTGGGAAGGCGCATGGTGACTGCTGTCTCCACGGCAGAATTCACCACGCCCACACACCAAGAGACACCTGCCAGAAGCATGCAGAGCCTTGGGCTCATCACCACTGTGTAGCGTAGTGGATCACACACAGCTACATAGCGGTCATAGGCCATGGCAGCCAGCAGCAGAAACTCAGTCCCTCCCAGGGCCAGAGCAAAGAAGTGCTGGGTCCCACATAGGGTGAAAGAGATGGTCTTCTTCTCCATGAGGAAGTGGGCTAGCATCTGAGGGACCCCGCTGGAGGTGTAGCAGATGTCTACCACGGAAAGGTGGCAGAGGAAGAAGTACATGGGCAGGTGGAGTCGCGGGTCCAGTGCAATCAGGAGGACGATGAGTCCATTGCCCAGCAGGGTCAGCAGGTACGTGACCCCAAAGAGGACAAAGAGTCCAGCTTGGATGTGCTTATCACTGGAGAGACCCATTAGAATGAACTCACTCACCCAAGTAATATTTTCTCTCCTCATGGAGCACCGGGGCCAGTTGGCCAAGAATAGAGGAAGAAAAGTCAGAGGGGACAGGTGCCGGTGTCACCACAGGTCTTGCACTGAGTCCTAGGTTGCGATTGGTGCTGGGCCTGGGCCATAGCCTGGTTCTTTAGTTTGAGTGTTTAGGGAAGAACGTACTCAAGACAGTGGAGAGAAGAAGACGTGGCTGCTGGCACAAGTGTAGGTGACTCTGAGGAGTCAATCCCATTTCAGTCCTATCCTCTCATGCCTAAGAGTCTACAAGCTCAAACAGTGTGGGGAGTAATTTGCCAGTGTGGAGGGAAAGAGGACAAACACAGTGGATGATGGAGAAGAGGAGGGATGATGCAAGACTGAAAAAAATGAAAGTGAGAGAAAAACTCAGGGAGCAAGATGTAAACGCGGAAAAGCAATGACAACGGGAAATAGGAAAGAAAGGGGTAATTCTTTAGTGTCAGTCGGTAGCTGCTCAAGCCTTGTAGGTACCGCTGGGCACGAAAGGGATGCTCCCGCACTCCTGAATGCCACTTTGCAAGCATCCGTTCGCTCGCGCTCCTTGTTCCCAGTATCTTCTGCCTAAATGATGATGTAGAAGAGAATCCTCTCACATCCTCCTTTTCACACCCACCGCCTCCAAGGAGGCGTCTCTCTCTGAGATGGGTACCCGCTGTGTGCTGGAAATGGTGTAGCTTTTGCTGTTGTCGTTCCTGTGGGTGAGAGAGAATAAAAAAGACAGACTCACAAGCCCTGCTCTCTTGTCTCACAACCAGGGACACAGAGATTAATTTAAAAATTGCGAAAATTAATTAAACTGTGTTAAGCACCGTGGAAGGAACAGGGTCAGTGCTTGGATAATTGAATTTCAGCCTTCGTAATTAAATTGCCATTGTGGGTGTTCCTTACATCTCTATAGCATGCAACTTGTGTTGTAAATTTTGAGCATTTATTTCGATGTTTAAGAAAGTGATGAAAGGTTGATGCGTTTAGTTCCTGGTGACCAGACACATTGACACCAAGCATGAAACGATGAGAAGCTTGCGGATTCTCCTCTCTCATCTGAGTTTGCCCTAGACTGTCGACTATCCATCATGGTGACTGACTGGTTCTTGGGAAAATTCAATTAAATTCCTTCAGATTTCCTACGGGTGGTACAATCTCTAGGTAAGCTTCTTTTACTCAAAATGTCTAGCAGGCAAATAACTCATTTACTGGAAAATTTATTGAACACACAGGTTCTATGCTCTCAGCCAGTCTTTAGGAAACCTTGCCTTTCAATACTAAGCCTCTGTGTTTTGAAAATCAGTGGTTCACAGAATCAAATTGGAAATTAAAAAAAAAGTTGGAGTTGGACTTTGGCTCAGCCTTTGGAAGCCAAACGAACCAGTTTATATATATATATATATATATATATATATATATATATATATACAGCTAAGCAATACAAACAATGTGTATCATCATTAATACAGCTGGAACAGAGCCACATCATCAAACATGAGAGCTCTGTAAAGCACACCTCTGTCGAGATTTCCTCTGGCTGGGTAGAGTCCCACCTAACTTTTGCAAGGGCAGAGTAGAGTGCAGGCAGCTCTGGCCCCTCTTTGGCTTTGATACTGGCCAAAAGCCATCATTGTGGCAATTGTGAAGGGTAGAAACCGGCTTTGGGTTCTCAGTGAAGTTTAGGGGATAGGGTCGGGTTTAGGAAGGTGCCACATGGGATTCGGAGCACCGTCACAGTCCAGAGCCCACATGCTGAGTCAGTAGAGGGAGTGGTTCAGTTTGGACTTGTTTCCATACTCAGATCACTTGTTGCTGTAGACAGAATCCTCATCTTCACGCTAGTGTGGATGGACCCAGAATCCATCCGCATTGGGGATCAAACCTGCTAGAAGGAGAAGGAACCATAAAGATCTCATCTCCACCCTTTATGCCTAAAGAATCCGGGGTACAGGCTGAGGCCACCTGCTGAAGTCACAGATCCACCTGTGCCTGTGATCTCAGGTGTTCCCTAGCTTACCAGTGAGAGGTAGAAGGAGTTGTTGACAGATACAGTCCAGGGAGAAGGATGCTTGCTCGCCGTGGACGGCAGGTTCCGAGTGGTGTCTTGCCTTTTGAGCAGGCAGAGCTTTGAACGTGCAGTCAGGGCGACGGAGCTCCAGCCTGCCCATTTGAGGAGGCTGTCCTGTTACGAGCTTCTTGACATCCCCACCCCTGTTTTCTCCATCAGAAGCATTAAACAACTATAAATAAGTAAAGCTCCCTGCGGAGCATGTCCGGTGAAGTCAGATGAACCAATGAACAGGAATGCATTTTGGAAAAATACCCAGTAACTCCTTACTGAACATTGTTCCTGGGCTCAGAAAGTCCACACCACTTCCCTGTCTACTTGCATGAGGACGAGTGACAGCACGAAGTACAGAAGATCAGAAAGGTAGCAGAGTGGGGGGAGGGGCACAAGATCATTTACAATAACTTCTAATGTCTAAACTTAACTGCAAAAGTGATGTTTCAAGACATCTCAGGAACCAGCGTAGAACCTGTCTATATCTGTTGCACAGAGAATGAACTCACCATCTGTTTGTCCTAGTAATATTTTGATGTTGGTTTTGTAGGAGGGCCAACTTTTTCTTGTCATGTGGTAATGCTCTGAGTTTCTTCAGATTAACAAGAGAATTTCATTTCACCTTTCTGAATCTGATGAACACATACTGTGTACTGGTCAGGACCTGACCAGTGGCAGGAGCAGAGATTATAGGGTCAGCGGGTGAGTGAGGACTCTGTCTCCAGACACTTATTCTTGGAAGGAGGATGGAGAGGCTGTGTCACTATGCCCTTACCAGAGGAAGTTCCAACATTGCCTCAGTAACTGAAGACAGGTCCTGACTGTCTCAGGCAATAGAACGTAGAAGTTATGAAGCAGAACTAAGAAGCCACCAATGCTTGCTTTCTGAACTGGAAGTGATGACAAGAATGGTAGGAAAATGGGACCTGACTTTTCTGCCTGTACAGAATTTCATCTTTGTACCATTGGGTAAGTTGCACTAGTTTTGTAGCTTAGATCTTTTTTCATGTTTTCATTTGGTAAACATTAAGATTCTCTCTAGTTACAGAGGTTTGTGATAAATTAAAAATATTTATGGGATTTTAAAGCAGAATAGTAGGAAAGCTTAATTCTCTGGTCTTTCATCACTCTATACAAGTAAGGGTCAGGGCTGGGAGACGGTTCAGCGGGTGAAGGAGACTTCCACCAAGTTTCACAGCCTGAGTCTGACTCCTGGGACCTACATGGTAGAAGAGAGAACCAACACCTACACACGCTGTCTGCTGACTTCCAATTGCATAGCATTTCATGTGTGTGCCCACATAAATAAATAATGAAATCAAAATGAATTTCAAAAGAGGGGTCACTAAGTTTCCCGTCACAGGATTCAGGTCATGCATAGAACTATTTCTGTAATAAGTGGAATTTCTTGTCTTAAAGAGTAGAGACCAAAGAAATATGGGTAAGAGGACATACCATCAGAACAGGGAAAAACCAACACTTGTCCTCCATTAACTGCTTTCCAAAGTCCATCTCTCATCATTCCCACAGTGTGATATTCACTAACAAGTTTTTTTAACCAGGTCAGGAATAAACCTGCTATAGTTCCTTAAAAAATTATGCCTTTGATACTTGACAATTGAGAATATTTACTATCTTGCCTTTTGGAATAGATGGGTACCACACCATCCTTTGGGTTATCTACCAACCCCCTCCCTCATCCATTCCTTCTTACCCCAACAGCGTAGATGTTTCAAGGACAAGAAAATAGCCGTCCAGCATCAATATCTCATCCCAGGAGTGCTTATCTATGTATTTAGAGCATCGCAGTTGTATTGGGTATTGGATGACTGACTGGGAAGGAGGACTCCATGGAGTGACTCATATAATCTAAGTCCCAATTTTCGGAAGCTGCAGCCAGTAAGAAAAAGACATCAGCGGTTACAAAAGCAGTCCTGGGTGCTCCCAAAATTTTGGGATCCTTCATCTCACCACCTCCTCTGAGCAGTCTCTGTGGGCTAGTCACTGAAGGTGAGCACTCACTCACATCATGTAAACTGTTCATTTTGGCTGGGCGTGTGTCTCATCTCTGAGGGAGTCCTTGATGCACTTGCCATTTGTCTTCTTAGGCACAGAGGTTTTTCTCTGTCAGCCTGAGCTGATGACTTTTCAGAGCTTAGGTATCCCCAGAGGGCAATTACTTTCTCTTGGTGTGTTCTTTTACACTCTTCCTCCAGTTACATCTCTGCCACCCAGCTTTCCCTCTAAAGTTCCCTTTGGGATCAACATTTTGAAAGCCACTTACCTCAACTTTTAATTGTCCTTCTAGTTTTTGAGTTAATGAGACTATCTATGGCTCATTTTAGACTCAGTGAATTTTGGCAGGAGTCTGAATTAGAGAGGAATTGTTTCCCCGAGCCTGGCAAGAGAGATTGAAAGAAATTGAGCAGTAGAGGACTAGCTAACTCTGAGATCCTGGTCTGCCTTCTAGAGGAAGATGATATGAATACCCCCTTCCCTCCTCCTCACAACCCAGCAGTTGGGACCACGGAGTTGGAAGCATGTGCAACACAGTGCAACTGTTGTGTTCAATGCAGTAGAATAAAACCTCACAGTCACTGACATGTTCTCAGACTCCATTGTGTTCTGCTTTCTTTGCATAGTTTGATCTCTCGAAGACTCTTTTCTTTTAGTGACCCTTGAGCTTCCAAAGTCTGGTCATCTTCCACAGCTTTTCATCTCTTACGGCACTGTTAGGAGAAATAGAAGCAGTGCTGTATAAGGATCCTTTTCTTTCTGCGCATGGTTATCACTTTAGTGACAATGGACCTGAGTACTCTTGCTTTACTTCTTCTTTAGACAATCTCAGGTTCATCTCTGTTCCTTTCAGCATTCTGCTCAACTTAGGACCTTCAAGGCCTGGAAGACCTCCCAGCTTTGAGGTCTATGGGACTTGCAACTGAGAATTGCAGCCAAGAGAAAGAGAGATGGCAAACATAAAAGAGGAATTGCACAATATCACAAGGGAGAAGAGAAAAGAAGAGTGACTGCTGACACATCAGACTCCAAAAGGTATCTCTTGTAAAAATGGGTAGAACACCGCCAAAGACAAAGAAGAAGAACTATGGGACACCATTTTCCAGAATAAATATATCTAGATACAATTAAAATGCTTCCTTGCTTACAAAAAGTGCATCATATCTATTTCCCACCTACACTTTGATGACAAATGATATGTAGCTAAATAAAAACATGTAGGTTGGAAAATGGTAGAAAGTATGTCTGAACAATTGGATGAGTATAGAAAACTCAAATGCAGAAAGGCAATGGTGCTCAGGAAGGATAAAGGGGTTATCTGTGGGTAATGAGATCACAATTTGTAATTTCTTCTTCTTTGGTTATCAATATTTGTCAATGTTTGCAACAAAGACAAACACGTACATTATCAAATCAAATGAAATGAAAAAAATCTGTATCTGCCCTATCTTTATATAATGACACAGTGGTATTAAGAAATTAACATACTATTTTAATAAGCAGCACTAGTGAATTATGTTTGGGAAACTGAGTGGCTATCAAAGGGTTAAGGGAAATACACATCTTCTGGGTGCAACACAGCCATTGCAATCATTAACTCATAGCAGCTGCAGTTGCCTGCAGTGGGCCTGGGCCTGCACAAAATAGGGCCTGACAACACTCGTTCACTAATGAGGGAGGAATCAATGGGGCTCTATCCCTACCCGCTGAACTACTGGTTACTGATGGATTCTGGACGAGGCACAGTCATTGTCTTCAGTCATCACTGATAGGCCCACCATGCTCCAGTGGAGAGTTCTAAACTCATGGCTACACAGATGACCCTTGTTAAACTCAATGCATCACAAAATAAATCATGAAAACATGAATGGGAGAAAAGGATTTGTAGAAAAGAGGAGGATGTTGAACAGGGTGGGAAGAAGGTAAGACAGAGTGAGGGTGAGAATAATTAAAATGTATTAGAACATTTATGAAATTGTCCAAGAACGAATTTGATTAATAAAAAAGAATTAAGCGCGGGGGGAAGTATGTAGTCAAATGTAGTTAAAATTGGGTCACATGTTGGCATGCCAACTGGTGTTGTCAATTTTCAGGTCTTGTTTTGGCAACCATATAGTGACAATACAAGTTGATATATCAATGTGGGTGGAGAAATCTCACAACCCCCAGACAAAAAGCTACAGGCAATTACTAGCTGCTGAGAAAGGAAGAAAGTGTCTCCTCCAGGAACAGGCCCTCTGATGGTTATCCAACCAAAAGTGGTCAGCCCTACACACATACACCTATAAGCAGGGTGACTCCTATGAGAAGGGACTCAGCAGGTTGTATTTATAAATGCATATTTTTATATGTAACAATATATGGTGTGACTTCTCTCCCACCCGCATTATTCATGCATGCAGAGTTAGAAGATGGGTGGGGGAGGTCCGAGTGATAGAGAGGAGATGAACTGATTCTTTTTTCTGCCCCTTAGCAAGGGTTAAGGCTAGAAACAGGTCCCACACAATATCAGCTGCTGAGTTTCTAAGCCCAGGGCTTTTCCTAGAACCTAATTCTTTTCCAGCAAGCTTTGGTCACAAATGTCCCTGCTGAGTGCCCAGTGTAGTCACCCAAATCTTTTCTGTTTTTGAGAATTTCAGAGAAGGAAAGAAAATACTGGATAAAACTTTGGGGAAAATTTCTTTGAATCTCTTTTCCTTAGTGGGGTTCAGAGAGTGGAAGTGGTGGGACCAACATTGTGTTCTGGGTTAGAGCAGGACTACAGCTGTGTGTAGATCCCATGATCTATTTTCTTCACAGGACACCAACTGCGCTGTCACCTATCAGGCAAGAGAGAATGGTCACAATACCTCACGGGGAGCAGTAGAAGACAAGCTCAACTTCTGGGTAGGATGAGGGAAGCCTTAGACTTACAAGGCTGTGCCTGTGGGCTAGTAGAGGATTCTGACCACCACAAGATTATGCAGGAACCAGGCTGAAGAGCAGCATGGAATGGCTAGTGAACTGGGGGTTGAATCAACAAATCAACCTCTAGCTTGAAATGTTCTCTTTGTTTCTTATAAAATTTTCAAAATTTTGGGTCTTACATTAAGGTTTTTGGTCCATTTTGGATTGATGCTGCAGTGGGTAAGTGTTGAGAATCTAGTTCCAGTTTCTACACATGTATCTAATTTCCCAGCACCATTTTTCCCCACCCTGCCATGCCCTGCCCTGCCCCTCCCCTCCCTTCCCTGCCTCTCCCTGGCCCACCTTGCCCTGTCCCTCGAAGCTGCATTGGATGTTGGATCACTTGAGCCACTGCTTCAGAGGGTCTTGCTTGATTAAACCGTATTAATCTGGAAGGAATACACAGCTTGTCATCCTCTGTGGAAACAAAAATAAAATCTCTTTTCCAATGTGACATGTCCTTAGAGTTAAATTAAAATTCAGGGCATTTAAAAATATATAAATTGGATTAATCCAGCAACATTTATATAAAACGTCTGTTAGCAGCTTGTTGCTCATCCCTCAGCAATCAAACAATTCAAAGACAACACAATAACATGTAGCATCCAGACTCTCTGTGTATTTTCCATTCTTACATGGATTTTTTCTTACTCTACTTCTTAAGTTTTACTCTTTAGTAACTTTGGCTGCCCTTGAACTCACTCCGTAGACCAGGCTGGCCTTGAAATCAGAGAGATCTGCTTGCCTCTGCCTCCCAAGTGCTGGAATTAAACTGTCGTGCTCAGTTCTATCCTGATCTTTTACTCGATCCATTTCCAATATGTAGAGTAAAAGTTTGAATTGTTCTAAAATCAATCTGCAGTGTTTATTTAGGCTTGTTGGAAAGATAACGAGAGATCCGTTATGCTTTGATAAGTGATATTTAATTATGGTTTTAAAAAAGTTGTTTTGAACATTTGTTAGGATCAGATCATCGCTGTTTTGTTCTATAATCTAGGGTGACTGGAACTCAGTCATTTTTGGCGTTTGTTAAATTATTTCTAGTGGAGAAACAGAGTTTTTCCTTGCTGAATGTCTTGATTCACCTCTGATTACGTGTAGAGTAGCCTTCTGGTCAAGTGTGTGCTCTGAATGCATTCCTGAGGGTTGGTCTGAGGATACGGTTGGACACTATTATTAGGCATTTGTCTGAGGTCTTTAACATGTGACTTGCTGACCTGCCATTTGCCTTCCCTGAAATTTGGAAAGAGAAAGAGAGATAGGGGTACCTGTGGGACATGCTCGTGGCCAGAGCTGTGGAAATCATGACTGCCACCAGCCATAGATCCTGTGTGCGTTCTCTACCTTGGTAATATGGGCCTGAACATGCGTGAGTCTTGTGACTCATGCACGTCCCTCAATGAAAATGTTCGAGTGTGTGTGTGCATGAACACATACGCATGTGCATGCACTGTGTGTACAGACATATGCGAACATATATGAAAGTCAAAGGACAACCTTGGGTATCAGCCTACGTGGCCGATTGTGTGGTCAGTGAGCACCATGAATCTTACTCTCTGCAACTCCACCGAATTACGAGCGTGTTCTACCACGCCAACCTGTTAAAAAAGTTTATTTTATGTGTATGTGTATGGGTGTGTGTGTGTGTGTGTGTGTGTGTGTGTGTGTCACACGTATGTATGCCTGGTATCCACAGATACGGGGAGAGAGTGGGAGATGCCCTGGAACTGGAGTTACGGATAGCTGTTAGCTGCCTTGTGGGTTGCTTGGAACCAAATCCAGGCCGTCTATGAGAGCAGCAAGTGGTTTTAACTTCTCAGTCATCTCTCTGGGATCCATGCCCATCTTTTGGCGTGGGTCATGGGCATCACACTCAGACTGTCTGGCACGTACTTTACTGACTGACTTCTATCCTCAGCTCGGGTTTGTCCTTCTGACCTAAACGCCTGTGGGTTCTGTGGGCACAGGCAAGTTTGAAGCTTATAGATGGTTATTTTTCTTTTCTCGTCGACTGAAGGAAAGTTAGAGACACATTTACAGATTCCTACTGTTGGTTCACTTGTATTTATTAATTGATTGCATGTATGTGTTGTGGCTGGCACAAGTGTGCCGTGGTAGACTTATGGAAGTCAGAGGATAGCTTGTGAGAGTGAGACCTTTTCTTTCATCATGTGGGTGCTAGGGATCAGACACAGGCCACTAGACTTGGTGGCAAGTACCTTAACCCACTGAGACATATTGCCATCCCAGAATGAGAGTTGACAAGTGGTGGGCGTTGCTCTGATGTCTGATCTAGCCTTCCCTTCTTCTGTGCTGTTTTCTCTCTTCCTTTCAGTTAAGAAAATGCATACGTCTCATTTAACTTTCTGCATGACATTTGCATCTTAAACGTGCTTCAATTTGTTCTCTTTGAAATAAAACAGTGGTCAAAGTAAGGATCAGAGACAAAATTCTGTTTTCTGTTACCTCAAAGAAGCATTGTGTAGATTTAGGTCCTGATACCTATTCCCTTACACACAGGCCATCACACTTAAAGGCAGGTCACATGAGTGGATCACACACCAATGCTGGCCAGGATTGGGAAAGTAGAGTCAATGACAGCGACTGGCGTGTGGGCCACATACATGACTTGCCCATAAGCATGACCACAGTCTTCAGAAGGACACCCTTTCCTTCAGAAAATTGTCTCCTAATTCGACTCAAAGCTCTTCGTCAGAACTCGACTCAGAGCAGCCTTCACATCCTTGTTCCTGAGACTGTAGATGAGAGGATTCAGCATGGGGGTGACCACAGCATAGAAGAGAACCACCACCTTATCCTGCTCAGCAGAGGCTGTAGAACGGGGCTGCATATAGGTGAAGAGGGCCATCCCATAAGACATGGAGACCACAGTCAGGTGGGAGGCACAGGTCTCAAAGGCTCTGCGGCGTCCCTGGGTGGAGCGGATCCTCAAGATGGCAGCCACAATGTGGGCGTAGGACAGAGAGACCAGGCAGCAGGGCACCAGCAACACCACCACACTGGAGGCCAGGATCACCACCTGGTTGAGGGTGATGTCCACACAGGCCAGCCTGACCAGTGCCAGGGTCTCACAGGCCACGTGGTTGAGCACATTGTGCCCACAGGTGGGAAGGCGCATGGTGACTGCTGTCTCCACGGCAGAATTCACCACGCCCACACACCAAGAGACACCTGCCAGAAGCATGCAGAGCCTTGGGCTCATCACCACTGTGTAGCGTAGTGGATCACACACAGCTACATAGCGGTCATAGGCCATGGCAGCCAGCAGCAGAAACTCAGTCCCTCCCAAGGTCAGAGCAAAGAAGAGCTGGGTCCCACATAGGGCGAAAGAGATGGTCTTCTTCTCCATGAGGAAGTGGGCTAGCATCTGAGGGACCCCGCTGGAGGTGTAGCAGATGTCTACCACGGAAAGGTGGCAGAGGAAGAAGTACATGGGCAGGTGGAGTCGCGGGTCCAGTGCAATCAGGAGGACGATGAGTCCGTTGCCCAGCAGGGTCAGCAGGTACGTGACCCCAAAGAGGACAAAGAGTCCAGCTTGGATGTGCTTGTCACTGGAGAGACCCATTAGGATGAACTCACTCACCCAAGTCACGTTTCCGCTCATGGAACAGCTGGGCTGGTTGGCCGGGAGTGGAGGAAGTAGAGTCAAGTAAAGACATGTAAAGATATCAAGTAAGGATAGCAAAGACAATAAAGAAAGATATCATTACGGGTCTTGCACTAATGTTGAAACCAGAGTCGGGACACAGCCTGGCTCTTTAACCTATGTGGTCAGGGGAGGAAATTGTGAAGACATAGAAATAACTCCCCTGCCATTTTCAAATAAAAAAAGGGGGAAGGGGAGATCGGCATGGTGGTACTTTTCCTCTAATCCTGTCACGTGGGAGCTAGAGGCAGGAGGAACAGAGTTCAAGATCAGTGTGATCTACAAAGGGTGTTTGAGGCCTATGAGCATCTGTTTCAGACAAACAACAAGAAAGAGATACCGGAGGAAGGGAGATTTAGCTTCTCACACTAACGCATAAGTTTCTGAAGACCGAAACCCCTGATTTGGCCATCTGTTCATATCTAGCACCTTGTGCAATGACGGTTACATGACAAGTAATCAGTCAATGTGGGAGGAAAGATAATCCATAAGAGGGGTGGTATTACAAAAAACAAACCAGCTGCTGTAGGGGTAAAGAGAAATAAACACCCAGGAAGGAAAGCATGGGCATGGGGAAGGGTAGTAGTGAAAGCCGACAGGACAGAAAGGCAGGCTCTACAACATGGGCTAGCAGTGGCCCTGTCTTCCCATCAAACACACGGGGAGAACAGGATGCGTTAGTGAGTCTTGGACACCATTTCCTACACCTCAGTTCTGTTGATGTTCATGCTTCTTGCAAGCCTAGGTCACGGCCTTGCGCGGAACCCTCTCACATACTCTGTGTCATGACTCACTGACGCGGCTTATGTCCCTGAGATGAGCGCTGATGTGTCCCAGGAAATGGGCAGGGCACATTGCATCTGGCCGTGAGCACAATGACAGGGACATGGGGCCTTCTTTCTTGGGTCTTATAATTTGGGGATGCAGAGATTAATTTTAAACATTAAAAATAAATATGTTTGTGCCAGGTACTATGAAGAAACACAAAAAAGATTAGACTTGGCTAATCAAATTTGAATCTTGGCAGACATTCCTTTATCTCTCAATAACGCGTGATCTATGTAGTTGATTTTTAAAGATCGTCAAGTAAGTGATGAGAGAGTAATGTGCTGGGAGGTTTTGGCGAACAGTGGCTCTCATATTTTTACTGAGTATGAAGGATTGGAAAGCTCTACACTTTTCCACTGTTGTGAATTCTCCTTTCTCAGCCGGGCCTGTACTAAGTCATTGTCCTTTGTGGTGAGTGACTGTCCCTTGTATAAGTCAGAGACATCAGGTGTTTTGTTTGATTTTGTTTTTTTATAATTCTAATCTTTAGTGAACTTCTTCTTGTCAAGTATTTATTTTGTTAGGTCCACATTTCACTTATTTTAATCATTTCAGTTTCATTTACAAATATAACAATCTTTTCCCTCTGTTTTTTTTTTTTGTTTTTTTGTTTTTTTTTTTTTTTGAGACAGGGTTTCTCTGTGTAGCCCTGGATGTCCTGGAACTCACTCTGTCACCCAGACTGGCCTCAGACTCATAGAGATTCACCTGCTCTGCCACCAGAGTGCTGGAATTAAAGGTGTGCACCACCACCTCCTGGTGTATGTAACATTCCTAAATCAAAGTCTCCCTCGATCCTTTCTTATCTTGTTTCCATACCCACCAAATCTTTTTCTTCCCAAGTCCCCCTCCTCCTTTCATCAGTTTTGCCTGTATGTGACCCACTGCATTTAACCGGGGTTGCTCTTTTGAGCGTTGGTCGGGGATTATTTAATTGAGTTGGGACGATGCACCAGGTTTGTTGTCGCTCTGTTTGCAAGGCTGGGAAACGGAATCAGCGTAAATATGCATTAACAAATGAATGGATAATGAAAATGTGGTACATACGGACAGCGGAAATTACATTTACTGTGAAAAATAAAATTGTCAAACTTCATGCAAGTGGTGGTGATTAGGAAATAAATTGAGTGGCCAAAGACAAATGCCGCACCCTGTTTCTCTCACACGTGAATTAGCTTTGAATCTTTGGCGTCACGTGTTTAACTATCTGTGGAGGCCGGGAAGGCGGGAAGGGATACTGGGGGAGGATGCCTTAAGGGAGGGGAGACGGTGGGACACAGGTGATGTGAGGGAGAGGGAGGAGTACTGGGAAGGAAAGGTTTATAGGACACGTGTGGGGACAGGGTGGAAGGAAGCTTAACCCATCTTTCAGCTCACCTCAACGGGAATACTTCCTTTGATATAAAGTGTGCATTGGGGAACGTCAGTGGCTCCACAGAATAAAATAAGAAAATTTAAAAATCAGACCTTGGTGCATTCTGTGTGTGTGTGGGAGGGTCAATGACTTTGCTGTATGCCAATCACTGTAGCAAAGCAGGACAGGTGCAGAGTACCAAAATTAAGACAACTAAAGCAGAACCGCAGCACCAAACGGGCGACATCTGAAGAGCGTAAATCCATCCTGACTCCCCGGCAGCTAACAGGCTGAAGCCCCACCTGATTGTTGGAAAGCGAGAGGGGAGTGCTGGGTAGAACAAGAAACCAGCCTCCCCTCAGCTCTGACCCTCAGTTTGTAAACTCCATTCACCACTTTTTAACTTGATTCCCACATGTTACGTTCCTTGACCAAAGCACCCCCATTTATCCTCTCTTATCTTGCTTCCATACTCACCACGGAGGTGTTGCTGGCTAGAAGGTATCTCTGGAAATCCTTAAGGGTGGCTTTGGGTTCTCAGTAGTGAATTTAAGGAAGAGGGCCAGACCCTAGGGAGGTGCTGGTTGGGATTCTGAGCGCTTCACAGTCTTGTCCTCTGAGTCAGCAGAGGGAGTGTCTCACTCTGGACTGGTTAACAGTCCTAGGCCAGTTGTTGCCACGGTCAGAAGTCCCACTTTCGAACTGGTGTGAAGGATCCAGAACCGCCCCTCCCAATTCTGGTCCAAAGTGTAGAAATGAAAGGAACCACCAAGTCAGAATTTCCTTTCTCTCTCTCTCTCTCTCTTTTTTTTTATGCACAGGGAATCCGAGGGCCAGGGAGAGGTGATCTGCTTATGTCTTAGATCTGCCTAGAGACCAAGATAAAGGCAGACTGTCTGAGAGACAGTGTGGTTTTGAACAGACATGCCTCAGAAAAGGAGACTCTTGGGCGTCCCAGGTGGCAGATTCACAACAGTACCCTGCCCAACAGAGTTGCGTTTTGGAGAACAGGCAAAGTTTTGAACGAGAAGTCAGGAAGTCTGGATTCTAGTCTCCCAGCGTCAGGAACCAGCTGCTTGACCTCCGTGACGCCACATTCCTTCATCTGAAACGCGTGGGTGACGGGGACGCTTTCCTCAGGGGTTTTGAATATGTGTGTTCCGACGAGCTAGTGAAGACGAATTTGTTTCTGCAAAAATACTCAAAGGGTGTGATTCTTACATTCAGAAAGCCCACAGTACCGAGGCCAATTCCGCCTACACTATGTGGACAATTGACAGTGGGTGTGACAAAGTGCTATTATTAAGACCGGTAAGCTAGCAGAATGTGGTCCCAAGATGATCTGCAGTCAGCGGTGATGGCTGAACCTGATTACGGAGTGCATACAGCAGTATACTTCAGGAGTTAAGTTAGAGCCCATCACACGTTTTTGGGTAGCTCTACACTTTGCACACAGCATGAGCTCATTGTATTTTTATTTCAGTGATGTCTTGACATCTATTTTGGATTATGATTAACTTTTTTTTTCTTGATAGGTAACCTTGTTCTGAGCTCTTTTGGACAACAATTAGAGAATTTCCATTCTACGTTTTCTCAGCTTCACAAACATTTAGTGAGGGCTTGGTAGGGCCTGGACAGTGGTAGGAATTGAGTTCCAGGTGTTATTAAAAGAGGATTCCTCCAGAAGCTCATCCTGGCGGGGAGGGTAGAGAAAGTGAATCGCCACGCCCTGATCCTTCATAGGAAGCCTCAGCAACATTTCCAGTAACTGAAGAAAGACTAGCTATGCCAGCAAGCAGTAGATATACTTTATATATAGCAGCGCAAATACTTTATATACTAGATACAATGTAGAAATAAAACAACTAACATTTTTGTTTCTTTGAAGATACCTTCGAAGTTACAGTATCATAAGACCTACTTGCAGTTGATGTTAAATTCTATTTACACATCATCTGGTTAGCTGCTGTATTTGAAATATGTATTATTCATCTGAAGAGTGAAGTAGTAATATTTAGCGAACATTAAGATATCTTGTACTTGTAAAGGTTTGCAATAAATTAAGCCACATAAGCTATAATTTAAAACACCAAAGAAAGTAAAAATAAATTATTTGGTCTTCCTACATTCTGCGCATGGCTAATAAAAGTGTAGTTTAGGAAACATTAAGAGTCACTGGATGTCCTATTGAAGCATTCGAACTGCACATACAATTGTTTGGTGTGATGGCAATAATGGCATTTACAGTTTTTAAAAGCAGAGAGCAAGGAAACAAATAATGTGGTCATGCAATGAGACATGAGGAAACTGTTAGATTAAGCCATGGTTATTATAATCGTCCAAATTATAAGCCTTCTTCAAAAGTCCAATCTTGATAAAAATCCAGGGTGAAAATTCCACTAGCAACAAATTTTCTACCAGATCAAGGATTATACTTTCCTTCATCTACAGGAATTCTTCCAAATGCTAACAAAATTCTCCATTGTGCCTTTTAGAGAAGGTGGACTGTCTTTGGATAGTCTACCAACCCCTTTCCTCGTCCATTCCTTCCTACTCCAATGTAGGGTAGGTGTTTCAAGCCTAGAAAATAACTTTTGATTTACACTACTCCATTCTGCAAATGCCCTCCTACATAGTCTGGGCATTTTGTTTGATGGCACATTGTTGGTTAACTGACCTAAAAGGACTGACTCTTCAGTAGCCTGAAAGAAATCAGTTTCATCAATAAGTCACTGGAGGAACTCCAAGAGTATCTAACTGCAACTAGTGAGAGGTT